GGATGGAGATCATGAGGGGATAATAAGGACTGAGATGGGATATTGGGGACTGGGAGGGGAGGATGGGAATGAGAAGGGTGTGATGGGTACACGTGGACAGGACAACAGAGACCAGGATCAGAAGGGGACAAGATTAACAAGAAGATAACATGTAGTTCTGGAAGGGTGGATGTGGGACTGTAGGTGGCTGGGAAGGGTTAATGTGGCCGCCTGCACTGAGCTGGGTCCAGGCCAGGCTCGGGTTTCACCTGTTTATTCAGCTCTTGTCTATTGGAGGCTCCTTGATAAATGATTCTTTGGAGGTTGCCCGATGACAGAGGGTGACAGTCACCCACCTGAGCCCTGCTAAAGCCTTCACTGACCTTCGGCACCAGGATTAAAGTTTAATGTGATTCTGGAGCTGACCCCGGGCATGCACCATTCTGGGGCGACAGGGCTGGGGCCAGGCCGGTTGCCATCCCTAGGACATAGTGCTGGGTACAGACTGATGGCCCCCCAGGGCCAGTGGGTTTTGGCACCAAGAGGTGATTTGTCATAAGCCTAGTGTTCGCTGGTTACCAGGGCATTGTGGCCACAGGGCTGTTTCCTTTGGGGTCACTCAAGACGTTTGTGGATGAAATGTCACACCAGGTTGGGTTTGTCCCCCTGGGACTGGCCCTACAAGATGGGCACAGTGCCACGGTGCAGCCGGTCTGGGCACATTCCCAGGCACTGGTGGAGCCACGTGCCAGTGCCAAGAGCCACCGTGGTGCTTGCTGGGGTGGGCTGAGGTCCTGCCCCGCAGCCACCTTTGGAGCAGCAGCAGCTTGGGAAACAGTGGAGTGAGGGGACCCCAAGGTGAAGCAGCAGGGCACAGAACGAGCACTGAGGCTGCAGCTTGGGTTTCAGCAGGGTGACATGTCACCACAACTGTGGGGACAGAGAAGTCCCCGAGGATGTCCCCAGCTCGTGGGACATCGTGTTTTCTCCTTGCAGATGAATCTCCTCGCCCAGGTAAAGGGGGAGTCGGAAGGAAGGACACCTGCATCCAGGTGATCCCACTCCTCTGCCATGGTACCCAGTGCCCCTGGACCCCACAGCAGGGACCTGTCTGGTGCTGGGTCTGGGCAGGGGGGGAGGGAGATGTGTGGCCTAGGAGGCTGGGCTAGACTGGACTGCTGGCAGAGATGGGTGGTGGCAGGGGATGGGTGTCAGAAGCAGACAGGCCCTTCCTCGTCTTGCCCTGCCCCCTCTCCCCACAGGTGAGCTCCTTCCTTCAGACCCTGCAAGCCCCGGACTGGCTGTTCCTCCAGCCCTGGCACTGGCTGGACTCCTGGGTATGGCAGGTTTGGGGGTGCTGGCATGAGAATCCCAGCCAGGTGCTTGGGCAGGGGGTGGCAGCAGCCCAGGCCAGGACTGAGCCATGACACAGGTGCCACTGTGGCTGATGCAAGGTGTCTGTCCCTCCAGGTGGGCAGCTCCAGGCAGGTAAGTGCTGGCATTGCCCCTGTGCCCTACACTGCCTGTCTCACCCCTGGCACAACTGGGATGAATCCTGTATACCCTGCTTTTTCCTCGGCACCTACGGGTGCTTCAGCACCTAGGGGAGGCAGCCCCTTCCCAGAGGGTTTCCATCCATGGAGACCCTAGACCCAAGCTGTGCTTAAGCCACCAAGGATGTGGCATAAGCCAGCAGGTCAGTGATGCTGCCAGTGTCCCCAGGGCACCGGTGGCCCTGAAACATGGCTGGGTCCCCAGGCAGTGACTGGGGCAGTGACCACGGCAGGGTTCTTCCTCTGCGAGGGGCTGCTGGGACAACACTTCAATATGGTCCCCAACGGGGTGGCTGAGCCCCAGCCCGGGGACCTCTTCCTCTTCCCACTGGCCTCTGGGGGCCCTGGCTGGTGGGGTGCCCACGCTGGCATCTACTGCGGTGATGGGGAGATCATCCACCTGGAAGGTGAGCCCCAGGAGGTGTCATGGCACGGGGACATCTCCATGGAAGGGACATGGGGTATAGAGTCCACTTTGCCCTGCAGGCAGCTCAGGGACGTCACCATCAGGCATCGTGGCTAAGCACGGCAAGAGCCACCTCCTGCGGACACGGGGCCCGGCCAAGGTGCTCCGGAGGAAGGGGGGGCTGGACGTGGCTGCCCTGCAGCGGCGGATCCGGGCAGCCATGGACCAGCCAGTGGAGTACGATACCATCACCTGCAACTGCGTCCACTTTGCCCTCGCCCTCCTGGGGCTGGGCCACCTTGCTGGTGCCATGGTGGGTGCCACCACCAGATCAGGTGCCACCTGGGACACCTCGGCACCTGCTCCTGCCAAGTGTCACCAAGTGTCTTATTTCCCAGGTGTACCCAGCGCTGCAGTGATGGAGGTGACGGTGCTCCTGGGGAGCATGTGGGGCTGGAGCATCCTCGCCTGGAACTGCACCAGTGATTTGTCAATCCTCTTGTGTGGCAATAAACAGTTGCATGGAAACCCCGTGCCAACCCTGTTTGATTTGTTGTTTTCTCCCTTTCCCAGAAGCCACTGTCAAGTGATGTCCCACCTTGACACACCTTGAAGGGAGAGGCTGCTCTCTGCTCCCCATGGCCTCCTGAGACAAACATCTGCCCCTTTCACTGCTGGCATTTAATTTTGAGCATAAAAATGAATACTCTGTGAACTGCTGTGTTGAAAATGGGCCAAAAGGCTGGATCAGGTCTGGCTGGAGGCTGGTGGTGTCCCCGGGGTCAACTCTGTGTCCAGTCCTGGTCAACCTCTTCATTACTGGTCCAGTTGATGGGATAGAGTGTATCTGCAGTGAGAGGGAGTGAGTCACCAACCCACAGTGATTCCCCTGAAGTGCTGGGTCCTGTGCTGGGCTCTCCAGCATGAGAGAGACAGGGACCTATTGGAGAGACACCACAAAGGGCCACCAAGGGTCTGGAGCAGTTCCCTTAGGAAGGGAAGCTGAAAGAGCTGGGGCAGCTCAGCAGGGAGAAGGGAATGTCCAGTGGGATTTTATCAGTGTTTATAGCAGGGAAGAAGGTGGAGTCTGGCTCTTCTCTGTATCTCCTGAGGGTTGGGGTCTCCAGGAGAGCAGCAGGGTCCCAGAAGGTCTGAGATCCAAGCAGGGTTGGGGTTCCTGGGAGGGTTGTGGGATCCCAGGGAGGGCTGGAGTGAGTGTGTCTCTGGGCTGAAGATTAATTGCTGTCCATTAATTAGATGCTTTATTCAATTCTGCTACTTGAACCATGGCCATATTCCCTAGCTGCCTCACTCCTGTGGGATGGGGCGAGTGCATCTCCATCTGCACCAGCTCCAGGACTGGTCAGCTGGCTGGAGAAATAATAGGGGGAATATCTGCCAATAGTATAAAGTACCTGGGGAAAAAATAAATCAAAGAAATGCAAACAAAATCTCAACTATAATAATATCAATAATGATATCTTATATACAATTTATAGTCATATATATTACTATATGAAACACCGTAATATGCATGGCCATATCTATAATAATATTTCTATTTAACATCTGTAGTATAGTTAATATATCTAGTATATAATAATTCCTATCCTGTTATTGATAATAATATTAAATATAAACTACAATATCTATAACAATATCTATAACAATAATATAAATTAATACCATACCTAATATATATAATAATTCAGATAGCATACATCACATATACTATCATGTGGAATACAGATCATAAAATATTGAATTTTATCATGCAGTATCATGCATGCCTCCAAACCATAGCAACAGTTGTGCTAAACATCCAAAAAGGCACGCAAATTCACCTTAAGTAAAAAAATAACTGTACTAGTATCTCACACAGTGTCCACAGTACTAAAAATAAAAAGCAAACACTAGCTTTCCCCACAAAAATTCCTAAAATACCAAACCATTATAGCAAAACTAAACAATGTAAAAATAGTAATAACTAACATTATCAACCCAACTTCTTTCCTCAATAAAAAGCAAAAGAAACCAGTACACCATGACTGCCTAAAAACCATCAAAGCCATCCATTCCAACCGCCCAAACCTCAAAAACACCCCCCTTAATAATGCAAAAACCTAGTCCACTAATAGAAATAGCTACATCATCAGTAAAAAGCAATATGCCAAATATGCAGTCACCACCTGCAAAAAAGTAATCAAGTCTAGACCTTTACCAACAAACACCTCTACACAAAAGACAAAAATAATTACTTTAACTTGTGCCTTAAAAATGCAGTATACAGTAGATAATACATAATACACAATATGTAATACATTAAATACTATATACTATATGGTATATAATACTTAATAGAATTAATATAATCTGCTATATAACATAGTATGACCTATAGCATACAGAACATATTGCATATATTATATATAAACGGTAGAATGTAGAATGGTTTATGAATTATCTATAATATAGTATGATTGAATAGGGAAAATATATAGTATTGCATAAATAGTGAAATCTGTAATAGATGATAACGTAATGTAATAAATAACATGCAATATATGGTGTACAGTATGCAGCATGTAATAAAATATATAAATGATATGTAATATATAAGTAAGCGTATATTCTGTATACTGCATACAGTATTATAGATAAAATAATAGTGTATAAAATAATAATTAAAATGTAATATGGTAGGATAAAATAATACATGTTATAACATCCGAACATATTATTTACTATAATGTAATCTATTTTAAATATGTCTAATTATTATCCTACACAATGATGTCTATTACTATAATTATAGCTTTTCATGGCTCTGGACTGGTACGTGTGCGGCTCAGTGACAGTCACTATATGACAGCTATGTCCACAACATTGCTCCTCCTCGAACGCCCCGTGTCCGGCTCCCGGCGCAGGTGGGGGCTGCGCAGGGACCCGGAGGCTGCAGATCCTGCAGATCTCCCGTTCTCTGTGGCGGGGGTCGGTCCGGGCGGGCGCTGCCCCCGGGCGGGGGCCGGAGCCGGGCCCGTCCCCGCCCGCGCTGACATCAGTTCCCGCGTCCCCCCCGCACCCGCATCCCGCATCCCTCCCGCCGCCATGGCCGCCAGCCCGGCCTACGGCGAGGAGAAGGGCGGCTCCTCCAGCCTGGGCGAGCCCGAGTACGGCCACGACCCCGCCAGCGGCGGCATCTTCTCCTCCGACTACAAGAGGTGGGGACAATGCGGGCGCAGGGGACAAGGACGAGCCTGCCCGTGTGGCCGCCGCTGCAGGCCTTCGCCGCCGTCCTCGGCGGGGGAGTGGTGCCCGAGCCGGGGCTGGAGCGGCCCCCGACGTGGGGAGGGGGATAGGGACGGGGATGTGGATGAGGATGGGGATGTGGATAGGGGCAAGGATGAGGATGGGGACAGGGATGGGGAAGGAAATGCGGTCACTGTCCTCGTCACCGTCATTGCACGTTGCAAAGGCCGGAGAGGGGTTTGTGGGAACACCGCAGTATTTTGGAGATGGTGCGGCTGGGGGAGATGTGCGGGGATCCCCCTTGAACCTCCCACCCTCGGGCTGGGGCATCCCGGGCGCGGTGTTCCCACCGTGGGCTCGGCTTGCTCCCGTGGCTCTCCTCACTAGCAGCCCCCTCCCCCCGCCGCATCGAGGTTCCCGGCGCGGAGCTTGCGGCTGGGGAGGCTGGCTGCTGAGGAATGTCACCCCTGCGTGGGACAGGCTCCTGCGGGGGTGGAGGGGTGGGCACGAGTGAAGAGGAATGTGGGGGGTGTGCTCCTGAAGCTGCAGGAATGTCTCTTGGCCCTCCCTACCAATGTCAGTGTCCCCCACTCTGGCAGTGTCCCCGCCTTCTGCTGCCCCAGCAGGAAATCGCTGAATCAGTGTCTGACAGCATCACTCTCTCTACCCCTGGCTGTGTCCCCCAGTCCATCATGTCCCCCCATCTCTGCCCCTATGGTAGTATCCCCCCATATGACAGGGTCCCTCGAGTCCTGATTCCCTGGCAGTGTCCCCCACTTTGAATGTGTACCCCATCCTGACCTCTTGGCCGTGTCCCCAGTTTGGGAGTACTCCCCAGTTTTGGGAGTTTGGGAGTCCTCTCCCTGTACTCCTCCCTAATGCTGCAGAGTGTCACCCATTCTAGATGTGTCCCTGATCTGTGACGTGATGGCAGTGTCCCCATCTCACTGGGTCCCCTCTCCCCTGAACCCCTGGGAGTGTCACCTTCTCTCTGATACCCTGGTAATGTCCCCCACTATGACAGTGTCTACCCAGTCCTGAGGCCGTGGCACTGTCCCCCACTCTGGATGTGCCCTCCATCCATGACCTGCTAGCAGTGTCCCCATCTCATAGTGTCCCCCCTTCTCCTACCTTGTCCCTCTCTCACTACCTTGGTAGTGTCCCTTGCCACTGTCTGGCAGTGTAACACTCTGCCACTCTGTACCCCTGGCTGTGTCTCCCAGTATGACAATTTCCCTCAACCCTGATCCACTGGCAGTGTCCTCCAGTCTGGCAGTGCCCTCTATCCATGACCCACTGGCAGTGTCCCCATCTCAGAGTGTGTGTCCCTCCCATGAACCCCTGGCAGTGTCTCCCAGTTTTTCCAAGTCTCCCCCTCTCTGATCCCTCCTTGGCAATGTCTCCTGGGCTGGAAGTGCTCCCCTGCTCCCATATCTGACAGTGTCTCCTGACCCCCACTGGCAGTGTCCCCCACTCTGGCACCTTCCCCCAGCCCTTACATCCTGACCTGACCCCCGGTCTGTCCAGGTTATCTCAGTGATCTGCCACCAGTACCTCCCATTCTGGCAGTGTCACTGCCCTCACGGCAGTGTTTACCTTACCCCTGACCTCCTGGCAGTGTCCGTCACACCCACAGTGTCCCCCACACCTACAGTGTCACTATAATCTGCATACTGCCCTTTGCCAGAGCCACACCAGGTCTGTCACCACCCCTGTGAGCCATCCATGGCATCTACAGCACATGGGGCAAGACAAATGCACCAAGTGTGACCCCACCTCCCATGTCGGACACCCAGAGGTGCCCCATCATGCCACCCTACCACCCAGGTAGTGTCCCACCTTGATGTACGTTCCCTGCCCAGGACTGAGCCACTCAGCACTGGGGAAGGAGCTCCCTGCAGTGTCCCCAAGTCCCACCAGCAGGTCAGATGTCACATTGGACGTGATATCGCAAGTTGGCCTCGTCTACTGGGAACAGCATCCTGATCTAGGCTGCAACCCAACCCCAGCCACAGCATCAGGTTTCAGCCCACTGTGCTGGGCAGAGGAGCAGGGCCACAGCCCTGTCACCATCCCCAGGGCCACTACTGCCAGTCAAAGCTATGATGTCCTTGCCGCCAGTGCAGAAGCTGCTGCGGCAGCTACCAGTGGGGCCGACTGGCTGGCCGAAAACACCAGAGGGTGGTGATACGGCCGAGGAGGTGACAAGCCCGGTGCTGGCCACCGAGGCTGGACAACCCACCTGCTACAGCGCCCTGCGAGCTGATGAGCTGCGGCCCCTCGCTGGCACCAAGCCCGCAGTGGACACTGGCACCGGGCCACCACCGTGGTAAGACTCCCCCAGGGAGTGCCCCCAGGACCCTCTGGTGATGGTGGCTCTGGAAGAGCATCATCCCATGGGCATCACCTTCAGTTGCTGCAAGTAGATGCAGCCTTGCAGGTGTCCCCAGTTTAGGGGGGGACCAGTGTCCCTTAGAAAAGAGGACAGTGGTGACAACTTTACAAAAGGCTGGTGGCATTTTCCCAGTCCAGGGAGGGGACCAGGGAAGGGCTTTGCATCGGGGTGTGCTGGCAAATCCATGCCACTATGTCCATGAGGGGACAAAGGACATCCAATCGAGCCAGGATGGAGCTGGTTATGGGCACCTGTGGTTTAGGGACAATGTAGGGTGACAACCACAGCCAGGATGGGACAGGTTTTTGTCTCAGTGCCTGGGATGAGGATGGCACTGGGTGCTAGCACCATGCCAGTCCCTCTGGTTCTTCTTTCACCTGGCTGTAACCTAACTCCTGTCCCCATAAATATTTCACAATGAAGAGTTGGATTGTCAGCCTGATGGCAGGCTGGGAGCAGAAAAAAAAAGACAGGTAAAAATGTGAAAATGGGAATTTTTTTCCCCCGGTGTGGTTCAGGCATGATGACCTCAAGGAGATGCTCGACAGCAACAAGGATTCACTCAAGCTGGAAGCCATGAAGAGGATTGTGGCGGTGGGTGGTGTTGTCGCTGGTGGGGACCACTGCTGGTCCGAGCTGTGTCATGTTGTACCGGCCCCTGTTGTGCCAGCTGCCCAGTGTCACACTACTTCTTTTCCCCCTAGATGATTGCCCGTGGTAAAAACGCCTCCGATCTCTTCCCAGCTGTGGTGAAAAACGTTGCCTGCAAGAACATTGAGGTGAGGAAGATCTTGGGTGGCCCTGGCAGCATTGCAGGGTCTGGCACTTTCCCAGTTTTTGGGAATTGGCTGGAGTTTAGAGGGCTCTGAGGTGGCACCTTCACCCTGCAGGTGAAGAAGCTGGTGTATGTGTACCTGGTGCGCTATGCAGAGGAACAGCAGGATCTGGCCCTGCTCTCCATCTCCACCTTCCAGCGAGGACTCAAGGTGCGCTGATTTGAGGACCCGGGGGGGGGGTAGTCTGGAGGAGCACTGAACCTGTCACAGCTGCACTGCAGCCCCTCACATGTCCCCACAGGACCCCAACCAGCTGATCCGTGCCAGTGCCCTGCGGGTCCTGTCCAGCATCCGCGTGCCCATAATCGTGCCCATCATGATGTTGGCCATCAAGGAGGCCGCCTCAGACATGTCCCCATACGTGCGCAAGACAGCCGCCCACGCCATCCCCAAGCTGTACAGGTAACGGGGGGAGTCAGGTGCTAAATTTAGGGTATCAATAAGGGTCCTGGCTGCTTGGTACAGGCATGGATGGGGAGGGGTTTGGTCCAGCATCATCTGCTCTGCTCCTCCCTCACAGCCTCGACTCAGACCAGAAGGACCAGCTCATCGAAGTGATCGAGAAGCTGCTGGCTGACAAGACCACGGTGAGCAGGGTGTCGTGTCTCCCCCACCTCTAAATCTGGGAACATCACTGGCCTGGTGCCCTCATGGGGATGGAGATGTTCCCACCAAATTGGTGTCATCTTGGGGATGCAGCCATCCCCATAGGGCTGGCATCCTCATGGGATGCCATTGTCCTCACTGATTCAGCATCCACGAAGAGATGCAGCCATCTCCCAAACCAACATCTTTGTGGGGATGTCACTGTCCCTAGCAAGATAGAATCTTTATGAGGATGCCACTGTCTCCACTGATTCAGCATCCTCACAGGAATGCAGATGTTCACACCAAATTGGTGCCCTTGTGGGGATGAAACCATCCCTGGAGAGCTGGCATCCTTGTGGGAGTACTGCTGTCCCTACTGGGCCAATATCCTCATGGGAAATTCACCAACTCCACTGAGGTGGCATCCCTACAAGGAAAGGCTGCCCACCAAACCAGCATCCTCATGGAGATGCCACCATCCCCACCAAACTAGCATCTTGTAGATTATGCCAGCACTCCAGTAAGTCATCCCGGGCTTTCCCCCTGCAGCTGGTGGCTGGCAGCGTGGTGATGGCATTTGAGGAAGTATGCCCAGAGCGCATAGATCTCATCCACAAGAACTACCGCAAGCTCTGCAACCTGCTCATCGATGTGGAGGAGTGGGGGCAGGTGGTCATCATCAACATGCTGACCCGCTACGCCCGCACCCAGTTCCTCAGCCCCAACCAAAATGTGAGTTCAGGAGCACAGGATGCCCTGGGAGCCTTGGGGTGTCCTGGGAGCCCCTAGGGAGGTAGGGTGAAGGGGGAGTGTTCTTGGGGATACAAAGGGTCCCACCTGCCAGCAGGAGTCCTTGCTGGAGGAGAACACTGAGAAGGCTTTCTATGGCTCTGAGGAGGAGGACACCAAGGATGCCAAGGCAGAGGCAGCCTTGTTGGCCAGGTGCAAGCCCTACGTCATGGACCCCGACCACCGCCTGCTCCTGCGCAACACCAAGCCCCTGCTGCAGAGCCGCAATGCCGCAGTGAGACCCTCACTCCCACCCTGTTCATCTTCCAGGGCTACTGGTGGTATCCATCAGCCTGGGCTTATGATATCCCTACGGTCAAGGACTCACTGGGACACTTGAGGGACACCCAGGGATGGGTGTCCTCAGGGTCATGCTACCTCCAAGTGCTGAGAATGGGACTGAGGGACACGACCATTCCTCAGGGTGTCCCCCCTTCCCACCAGGTGACACTCAGGTGTGTGTCCATAGGTGGTGATGGCCGTGGCACAGCTCTACTTCCACCTGGCACCCAAGGCAGAGGTTGGAGTCATTGCGAAGGCACTGGTACGGCTTCTGCGGAGTCACAGGTGTGTGGCACCTGGGTTGTGGTGGTGTCCTACCGCTCTACCCCAGTTGTTGGTTCCCATGGGGAGCTCCAAAACCTCATGAGAGACCCCCAAAAAGCCCATCCCTGAAAAGACATCAGGTTGGAGGCTTTTTTGGGCTGGCCCAGTCCAGACGTGGGGTGACAGCTTCTGGGTGATACCAGCCTGGTGGTGGGTCCTGGGCTGCATTCACAACGACTTGCTGAGGGTGTCTGGCCCTGCCCCACTGATCATGGTCCCCTCTTTGTCCCCACAGTGAGGTGCAGTATGTTGTGCTGCAGAATGTGGCCACCATGTCCATCAAGCGGCGGGTGAGTCTCAGACTTGGTGTGGGAGGAGTTGGCCCTGTTGACTCTGGAGGGAGATGAGGATTAGCCAGCAAGGTCACCAGAGCCTGGAGATGACCTTGGCAAGGTGGGGGAGACAGAGATGATACTAATGTCTAGCTGTGCATGCAGGGGATGTTTGAGCCCTATCTGAAAAGTTTCTACATCCGCTCCACGGACCCCACACAGATCAAGATCCTCAAGGTGAGCTGGAAACAGGGGTGGGTTTCGGGCTTCATGAAGCCCTTGCCTTGGTTCAGCTGTCCTAATGCCCTGGGGACAGGAGGACATCAAGGCCCCGTGCCCTGTCACTATGCCCCTATGCTGCCCATCTCTTCCTCTTTCCCGCAGCTGGAGGTCCTCACCAACCTGGCCAACGAGACCAACATCTCCACCATCCTGCGAGAGTTCCAGGTATGTCATGGCCATACTGAGGCTGCCACCCTGGCATGGCTCTTGGTGCCAAACTACCGCTATGGAGGCGGCAGAGAAGAGCCCCTCCAGAAGGAGTGGGCTGAGGCCATACCAGTCCCATCAGTGATTCCAAAGGGCCCCAGTGTGTGACCACTGCCAGGGGGGATGTCCAGCACTGGCACATGGGTGACATGTCATGTTTGCCCTCCATACCTGTGCAGACCTACATCCGCAGCATGGATAAGGACTTTGTGGCAGCCACCATCCAAGCCATTGGGCGCTGTGCCACCAACATCGGGAAGGTGCGGGACACCTGTCTCAATGGCCTGGTCCAGCTCCTCTCCAACAGGGATGGTGAGTACACACGGCAGGGGTGAAATGGGAGCGTCATCGCTATCAAGGCAGGATGCAACTGAGGCTGATTCTCTGTCCAC